GATTTGGTGCTGAATCTGATTTTTGGAACCATCAACAACATCAGAGATCTGAATTAAAAAGCTTCATACTTGTTCTCGTTGTCTGGGAAATTTTCTTCGTCCAGAAGAGTTTTGGAACCATCAACGATATCAGTGTGGAAAACCAGCATCGAATAAATGTGAAAAATGCGACTATAGAACTATTTTGAAAAAAATTTGAAAAGACACATGATATAAAAAAGCATAGTTAAATTGACATCTGTTGATTTTGTGATAAAGCGCAAAATTTATAAAAATATCTTAAGCCCGGTGCACACGACGCCAGATTTCATGATTAGTGCATGCCGGACAGTTTGTTACCTAGCAACGAAATGATACTGTACATTATTTCACGATCTTGCTAGCCAGATTTCACGTTTAATCTCTCTATTCACGATGGGAATATCCTTAACATATTTCTGTCTATAACCGTTTGCCTAGCAACGTCGCAAACTGATTTCACACAATTTCTGTCCTCGACAATTCTTGCCGTATTTTATGAATAATAGCATGTCCTATTCGGCGATGGATGAATGGTTTTGTGGCTGATAACGTAATTTGTCACGTAAATGATTATTTCATTTACGATCTTGACATATTTCACGATTTTGCTAGCCAGATTTCACATTTAATCTATATTATTCACAACGGGAATGTCCTTAACATAATTTCTGTCTATAACCGTTGCCTAGCAACGTCGGGAACTGATTTCACAACAACTTTCTTGCCGTATTTTATGAAAAGAGGATGTCCTATTCGGCGATGGATGAACTGTTTTGTGGCCGATAACGTAATTTGTCACGTAAATATCAATGTGTACTTTTCAATGTTCAGTTTTTATTTTGTGAATAGCTATTTGTATATATAGCGATGTGAAAAAATGCTTAGTTTTTGGGAACGCAGTTCATTAATTTTAAACTTTTCATAACCTTTTTAATATTTTCATAACGATATTAATTATCTGATAAAGATACTGATTTTAAAAATCATTAACTGTTATGTTAAACCTCTGCATTTTATTATCTTTTTATTATTATGACTTCATTTAATTTTTAGAAATATGAAATTAAATCATCTCATTTACTGTTTACATTTCATACAATGCTCTGTTTGTACACTTATAAACATTAGTGCATTTTAGGCATATAAAATATGATTTGTGAAATTCACAGTATATATTCATAATAATCTATTTGAAAATGCATAAAATTATTATTAATCATAAAATAAGTGAAAATCTGATGCAAAACTCTTGCTTACCTTACCAGAAAACTTGACAGAAATCCTGTATAAAGAAATACTGGCGTCGTGTGCACCGGGCTTTACATAAATAGTTAAAATAAATATTGTTAAATTTGTAGAATAAATATTTAAATTTTATTACAGCTTTATAGTTCACACCCAGAAGTTTTCTTTTATGAGTAAAACTAATATTGTAAATTTTACTCTAGAAACAATAAATTGTCTCTATTTTATATATTTTTTTGTTTTATATTTTTTATTTTGAATAACTTTTAGTACAGTGATTTTCACAATAAAAAAATATTGTTGATTGTATTTTTTTATGGTTGTATTATTGTTTTCCCCAGTCGCTGAATGGTAAGAGCTCTTGTTTTTCAACCAAAGGTTCCAGGTTATCCACTTCAGACAACATGATATCAATCGTGATATCTCTAAAAGTAAAGATGGTAATATATTTTCAGGTGAATCTAGGCCTGTTGGAAAAATTATAATAATTAAGGGCATTAAATTTCTTCTTGTGCCTTTTTAAAAAGCAGCATACTCATATAAAAAATGTATACCTATGAAATATTTTGTGACGTATTCCTATAACAACTTTTTGTAAATTTTAAGAATACTCTTTGTATACTTTTGGCCAATAAATATATATTACAAAAATGTAAAAGGTGGTTTGTGTTTAAAAGTAGTTAACAAAATATAATTCATAAATAAATCAATAAAAGTTATTTAAACCAAAGGTAATTACTTTATTTTCATTTATCACATTTCTAGTTATCACATCAACTCTTGGACTAACTTTAGATGATTTTTTTTTTTCAGATGTCAGAAAATTCCTGAGCTTCGTCGAAGATTCAGCAATATTCATAAGACCTTCAAAATTATCTAAATGTCCAAACTGTAATAAGTGTTACACTTATGGCACAGATTTAAGACGTCATATAAAAGAAGTTTGTGGAAAATATCCAGCATTTCGTTGTACTATATGTTCTTATTCATCTTACAAGAGACATAATTTTAAAAGACACATTTGGTTAAGACATAAAATGGTTATTGATTGAATGGGAATAATTGTATATACTGGTTTAAAATAAAGAATGATATGAAGTTATCTTTATGATTATTGAACTTATTGATTTTCAACAGAGGACGAAGAATAAATAGTGACAATACTCGAACTGACGATACCAGTCCCAAACTATTTCTTGGAAACTTGCTTTCACTTTTGTCTTCTCCATATTCAAGAAAATCCAGCAATTCTTTCTCATCATAAAGTGTTTTTAAATATTTTGTAAAAATATTGTGATAAAATTATTTGATAACTAACATCTTCTATGCAGGACTGCACATCGACTTCAAAATATATGAGCAGAACAATTTGTTTTTTAATATATCAATTTCATCATAAGTTGAATATAGTATTTTCCTGACTTTTTCTCTTTTTTCCAGGAAAATTCTACGCGTCCAAAAAATCTTTTTCTTCCATTGGCAAAGCTCAGGACCAAATACCAGAAATGGAAAGTTTTTACTCTTGTCCTCTCTGTGGGAAAAGTTACACATATTGCACTAGCAGAGATACACACTATGAAAAATGTAAACTTATGTATAATAGCAAATCTATGGACAATAAACGACTTTACAAATGCCCGAAATGTGGAAAGCCTTACAAAAATTCTGGAAGTATAGCAAATCATCTGCGATTGGAATGCGGAAAGGAGCCTCAATTTCGTTGCACATTATGCGATTATACATCCTATCAGAAATTTCATTATCAAAGACATTATTCATCTAAACATAATTTGGACATTACTGAGTCTTCATCTAAGTCAAATTTACAAGGGATACTGCCAGGCACAGATCATACGTATTATTAATAGCAAAAACAAGTTAATGTTATAAATACGATGATATGGTATCATAGATATTATACTACATGGACTGTTAGTCTAGCGCAAAATAAGTGCATAAAGATAAAATATTTTTTATATTTATTCTCAATATGTACAGAATTTTCAATTTTAATGTGTTTTTTTCATTTATTAACATCTCTATATGTATCATTTTATTAACCTTTTCCACTCGGATGCCGCCCCTCCAGCGGTAAAATACATATGAATTTCGCAATCAGCGAGTGGAAAGGGTTAATTTTATTAAATTCATTTTATTGTATTCAAAAATGCATTTCTATGCATATAATTACTAACCATTTTAATTTTTTTCTCATTTTAGTTACCTATAGTGATCAGTCTGATCCAAATAACCAGTTTTTTGGTCACTATTCAGATGAGACATATAACTATGGATCAGGATTTGGTGCTGAATCTGATTTTTGGAACCATCAACAACATCAAAGATCTGAATTAAAAAAGCTTCATACTTGTTCTCGTTGTCTGGGAAAATTTTCTTCGTCCAGAAGTTTTTGGAACCATCAACGATATCAGTGTGGAAAACCAGCATCGAATAAATGTGAAAAATGCGACTATAGAACTATTTTGAAATACAATTTGAAAAGACACATGTTGACTAAGCATAGTTAAATGCACAGATCATACGTATTATTAATAGCAAACAAGGTTAATGTTATAAATACGATGATATGGTATCATAGATATTATAACTACATGGACTGTTAGTCTAGCGCAAAATAAGTGCATAAAGATAGAAGGGGTCTGTGACGTCAATTGCTGAACGAGCGTTGCCGACAATCGTTGAACTTTCCCGATTGATTAAATGTTATATGTCATATGTCACGTGCCTAACCTAAAATAAAAATTTGTGTTTGAAATTGTTGTGAAATAATTATATTTTTGAAATAAAACTATCACAAATAATATTTGAATTACATTAACTATTATGATAAATATTATTAATATTATTTCTTACAAAATTATCAGTCATCTCAATTGCCATTATATTATTAAAACTAGCTGCAAACTAATGGATAGATGAATAGATATACAAATGAATATATACTAGCAAGTGTAGAATACTTAGATAAAAAAGAGATAAAAACAACAATATTAACTTGCATTTAGTACGATTTTCCATAAAAAATTCCATTGTCAATTAAAATGCTAGCATCAAAAAAACTATGTATTCTGTGTTTGGTTTTCTGTAATTTTTCTAATTTATGGTTGAAACAAACAATTATAATACTATATCCATAATAAAATAATCATTTTTCAGTATAATTGCAATGAAAACTAGTGCCGAATGGCATCGTACCTTAAGAATTCAAAGAATATTAAATGTTTTCAAATAGATTATTTTTTTCAAATTATATAACTTATATATGTTTACAGAAAACTTAATAAACAAAACTTAATCAATCGAATTTAAAATGGACGTTGTCTAATATTTATAAGACCTTTATAAACTGAATTGCAAAGTTTATGACATTAGGCTTTAGAACTTTAGCTAGAAAAAAATTAAAATTCAAATTATTTTCGATATTCAAAAAATTTTTTTTGGAAATTAAAAGCAATCGTTTTGTCAACACAAGTAGAAAGCTTTTTGAATCATTTAAATCGGATGCTTATTTCTCTCAAAAACTACCATCTTGCATGGTATCTACGAAACGGATGGGCCTGCCTTTGCCAAAAACTAATCACAAGTTCTCCTCGTCATTATGCATTGAATGTGTTTTTGGATCATTCAAATCGTATGCTCCGTTCTCTCAAAAACTCGATATCTATATTCCGCACTCTTTACACCGTATCTCCGAAGCGGCTGGACCTGCCTTTGCCAAAAACTAATCAGCACATTTCTCTATCAATAGGAGTCAAATATTTTTTTAATCATTCAAGCCGGTTAATCCGTGGGCCCGAAACGTGGACGAAAAGTTGTATCCATACATGCACACATGCACACATCTATATTTTTTAGGTATGCCAAAATGTTCAGAAACGATCAAAACGTGAAGAAATGTAAAAATTTTCAATTTCGATTTTTGGACGATTACAATAACTTACTGACATATGACATTTAATCAATCGGGATAGTTTCACGATTGTCGTCAACGCTCGTTCAGCAAGTGACGTCACAGTCACTTCTATCTTTGTACACTTTATACAATGGAAAACATATGAGGACTAGCAGTCCATGTAGTATAAGGACTATGTATGATGTATATGAAATTATATGTTTTGATACAACCTAAAATAGTATAAATGAGAAATAATATATTTGAGTCAGAGACACTTTGTTAATAAATATTGATTGTTTTCTAACAGATTAGAACTTAAGAATCCTATGAGTTGTGATAATACTTCCAAAGTATTTTTTAGACAGCCTCTCGACTGGTATCTTTAATGTATTTTTTATGAAAAAATATTTCTATGTGTTGTAATTTGTATAATAAAGTAACAAATAAATTTTTTATTACAACTAGCTTGATTTAGTCTTATTGCTCAACATGAAGGTTTTAGGTAAGAATTTATTTATTACAATTACTTTATTACGCCTTAGGTTTTTTTATAATTTTGGACCACATATTCGTATGATTAATTGTAATTAATTATACTATATTTTTAGGAAACCGATTCTACGCAGATACTACATCGATGGACTCTGAAAAAAAGAATACTAGAGAATGGGTATTCTCTTGCCCAAATTGCAAAAAACAATACGCTTATTTAAGCGCAAGGAACAAACATTATGCAACATGTAAACAAATCTACAATCCTGAAGGAGTTAATTCTGGAAAACTTTTTAAATGTCCAAAATGCTCTAAGTCATTTAAAATACGTAATAGTTTACATCGTCACGTTAAACTAGAATGCGGACAAGAACCGAAGTTTTGCTGTCGTTTGTGCTCATATAAGTGCTACCAGAAAGTTCGACTTCAAAAACATGCTTATGCAAAACATAATTACGTTTTATAAATAGTAATGGAAAAATATATATTATAAAAGGGTAGAGCGGGGCTTGAAGGTCCGCGGGCGAAAACGTCTACCACTGATATCTCAATAATAAATAACGTTAAGAATTTTTTAACAACAATATTTGAAAGTAGAGGGAAAAGGGTGATAATCAGCCATCACCTCGATTCTTACGCTGTTGCTATGGGGATATAAACCCAGATTTGAAAATCTATAACATAAGTATTTTTATTCGTTGTTAGTTTTTTTGGTTGTGAGCACTGTTGTTTAGTTTAAGAGACTTTAATATAATTTTTAAGTATAGGTTATTCAATTGTTTCATAAGATGTATTGTTAATTTTAAGTTAGATTTAACAGTTTTTTTTATATAATACCTATAAAAGCTGACACGTGGGTGGGGTAAAAAGGACTAAATAAACCTTTACCAAGGCAAAGGTGTAAACAATAAAAAGTAGTAAATAAAAAAATAAATTAAGTTAAAAAAAGCAATTTTGCAAGAGATAAATTAAATAAATAGTTATTCCAACTATGCTGATGAATATTTCTGTCGAAATACCAGATCAAGGTTGTATGCAGTTATCCCTGTAAAAAATGTACCCATGAAATTTATATTTTGCATTGGTTGAATAATGTAGCTATTATTTCGTAAAATTTCTTTAAAATTTCCTTACTATTAAATATAAGACATTGGATCTGGTGCCCCCTAGTCGTCTCATTTTACCACGCCTATAGGGTAAAAAGGACCATGTGGCAAATTTTTGAAAAACAGAAAATATAGCACTTTTCTACAAAGAATGTAGACTAATGAATTAGTCAGAAGTTTTACTGAGCATAGTCAGACAGTTGTTTGTTTGATATGTGTTATTTATTGTGATATAATTAGTTTTCACAATATAATTGCTCAAGGACAAATTGGACCTTTGTGCCCCGCTTTGCACTATCTGATGTCTTCAGATATTTTATGATATAATGAACATTAGACTAATACCATCAGACTATCATTTTGTGCTGTCATAAAATGATCTTAAAAAAATTTTTTTTTCTATAAACAAAATCAGAAATATAATAGAATATCTTATATATCTTTGTTATAATAATAATTCAACAAAATTATTATAGTTTGAATGATTAAGTATACTTATATTGCCTTGTTAGTATTAATTTTCCCATTACTTAATAATAATAATATTGTTAAACTAAAGACTAAACTTAAAATTCAAAGAGTTAGCGTATATTTTAGCATTATACTATTATTATGTATTATTATGTATTATATTTATAGTATTTATTTTAATTTGATCGATCATAAGTTAAATAAAACTTATTACACGAAACGCATCAGGTATATTTAGTGTATACTATATCTTTTCGGTTAAAATATATATTAATTACTACTTTATCATTAACATTTTATTATTATTTTCAGGTGACAGCTTCTATGAAAATACTGGGTACGATCAGAATAGTCAATTCTACGATATTAACGATCCAAACAATCTCTATATTTCACCGACAAGTTTTTGTTGTTCGAATTGCAACAGATTTTATAGGCATAAAAGGACTCTTCAGAGACATTTGAAATTTGAATGTGGAAAAGAAAAACTATTTAAATGCCCAATGTGTGCCTATAGGAGTCATCAAAAGATCACAATGCAGAAGCATTGCGAGAGAAGACATCAAAAATATATTTAATTTAAGAATGTTAAACTGTTGTTGAATATTAGTAATAATAAATAATAAATAGTAGTTTGCTCGAAGGCAGGTCCATGGTGTGAGAGCACCACAAAATCTATGATTTTCCTCCCCTCCCTTGTTTATTATTTCTATTACCGTTTTATTACCATTAATTAATGACCATTAATCACTTTATATTTGTTTTTATGAATTTTCCTTTCCTAACTTGTACTTCCTTGTCTTCTGGTTCTGTGCTTCGACTTTCAGTTCTCTGCATTTTCTCTTCTTGCATAAGTCATCATCAGTAGTAGATAATTATTACTAAATGTTGAAATCCATATTTAAAACAAAATATAATTCAAAACATAAAAATCGAAAATGAAAATGTTTATATATCTTTACGTTTCAATGGTTTCTGAATATTTTGACATACCTTAGAAAAAAATGATGTTTGTGTGTTTGCGTGTGTGCGGATACAAATTTTTATCGGCGATATCGGGAACACCGATCAACCGATTAGTTTTTGGCGAAGGCAGGTCTAGTCGTTTTGAAGATACGGAGCAAAAAGTGCAAAAAATGGCAGGTTCTGAGAGAACACATCGGCCGATTTGAATGATTCAAAAAACATTTTATTTGTATTAATGGAAATTAATTTGTGGAGACGTACTGATTAGTTTTTGGTATAGGCAGGTAACTACTAATGTTCAACTTTCAGCAAACTAACAAAAAAGTGATCTATTTGTATACAAGTAACATGTTATTATTAAAAGAAATAGAATAAAAAAAAACTTGTTTCTGACTCTTCAAAAGAAATACTGTCTACAGAACATTTTAATGTATGGCTTTAATGCGGAGTTAATGCAATAACGGAAACTTGTTCGCACAAACATACTTTATATTTTTTTGCTTTGAACCCTATCTTTTCAAAATCGGTATATTTTAGCTATTATGACGACTGTTACTACAGTACCTTGGCACAACCGTTCCCAGTCTCCCCTAATAATTAATACTACAAAACATATATAAGTTAACTCACTATAATAAAAATTTACGGTGATATTCCAGAGTTTTATGAGAGGCTAGTAATAAATTATTTAAAATACTTTAAATAATATATTAGATTTTATTATAAATATACTAATTAGAGAAATATTTATTCATATATTACCTATATGTAAATACTGTAAATATTTTTTTTTATTTTCTTGAGAACTATTTCAGAATAATGAAGATAAATCAGTTATTTTGAATATATTTGAATTTTATTGACCAAGTTTAGACAGATGTTTCTCATTCACTTGTATTTTTTCATATATTTTTAATGGATTATAATAAGTTTATTTGGTAATTGGTTTATTATAATTTTTGTAATAAGTAATTGGTCTATCACGGTTTATTTCAAAAATGAATAATAAATATAAGTATTTTAGCAAAATTGTATATAAATAAATATAGGCCAGAAAATATAACACATGAATTTTTTTGTTTGGGATTTTATAAATTTTCAAAACATATTGATATAAATTCAAAGTTTTGTTTCTATCAATGCTGTAAATATAAATGTGCAATTGCTAATTTGCTTCTAAATTATATTTTATATTTTATTTTATTATTAGAGTAACATTGAACATGGGTTTTAATTTTATTGTATATAACTTGTATTGTACACATAAAAAGCATGTAAGCTGTATAAAGTTAAATATATCACTTATTTTTCAGAAACAGTTTATAAATATATTGGTGGAATATATAAATATTGCACATATATTTTATTACATTCTATTGTACATATACAAAATCATTGAATTTGCTTGTTCATTCACTTTCATAGATTCGAATACTATTTTGCATTAAATAGCGAAATGTCTGTAAAAATTTCTTCTACCTTCTATCCCACATATCTATTAGTTTCACTGATTTTTTGTACCTTCAAAAAACATATTAAAATATTTTATAATTCCAGGTAAATTTCGCGATATGCAAGCTTTTGTCGACATGGCAACTTTCTTTAGTCAACCAAATATAAGGAGAAGATTTTCCAAAACGGTTCCAACCATGGAAGACGGTGTTCCTAAATGGCAGTGTCCAAAGTGCCAAAAAGTCTACAGACACAGAGAAAGTTTACAAAAACATTTAAGACTGGAATGTGGAAAAGATCCACAATTCTTTTGCTCCATGTGTCCTTATAAAAGTCATCAAAAAATCAATCTTCAAAGACATGCTTTGAGACATATCAAAGGGTACTATAAAAACTGTTGATGTCGTTGATAATTGTTGATAATTATTGTTAGATAAGTATTTATTCCTATTTTTATACAAAGAACTGTTGTATTTTTAGAAAAAAAATAATAAATACGTATATTTTAGTTATCTTTATGTAAAATAATATTAGTATTATATATTTTAAGAGGGTTATAATGGTTTTATAGTTGTTATTAATTAATAAGTTTAATTTATAGAGTTGCATGTTAGTGAATCTACCTCAGGATAAAGTCTATATATGTATATATCGTTGAAATATGTGTGATTCAATCAGGCAATACATCAATTAAAAAACTGTAAAAATTTATAAAAATTTTATTATACCAACATGGTCTGGCAGATATCTTAATTTTCAATCCTATCATCCAACTAGCATGAAATTGGTACTATCATCAATTTAGTTGATCATGCTATTCTACTTTCAGATAAACAATGTTGAATTTTTAACATATCCTTAATCCATAAAACTTTAATAAATAATTGCTATCCCTCAACACAAAACACTATCATCCCTCCCTCGTGTCCCAGAAAAAAGAAGATAACAAGTTTGTTGGCACTATATGTCTTCCATACATTAAAAATCTTTTCCCGTTTTGAAAAAAACTGTTTACTTTTGCGAATTTGCGTTTAGTCTGTAATATTGATCGGACTCGGAATTTTCAAATTTAAAATCACCCACAAGTGTAGATCATGCCTCTAACATTGTTTATAAAATTGACTGTAAGAACTGTGAGGCTGCTTATGTCGGCGAAATGGGACAACATTGAATAAAATGCCTGAAACAACATTTTAATAACTCCAAAAATAAAAATTAGAATAAAACGATGATAACGGACCACATCATAAGCTTGAATTATTGTTTCAATTTCGATGTTGCTACAATTTTAAATCACGAGTCGAACGTATCACAGAGACGCTTTTCAGAATCATGTTCTATACAATTGTACAAAAATAGTATAAACAAGAGAAATGATACTTCTTCGCTGAGAATTATCAAGTAGTTTTAAACAGTGTTTCGAAGTTCATTTTTTTAAAATAACCGCCCATTCCTGACATTTCAAGATTGAATCTCATATATATATAATATTTTTTGGTAATATATTGAAAACAAAAGGTAGGTACGATTCGCTAATATGTTTTTATTTAATATTAAAATATCTTTACAATTTACAGTAAGTTTAGTTAATACATATTCTTATATATTATGTTATTTACAATTTATTGAAATAAATTATTACAAATAAATATTTGTTCACTACAGTTGCATACATATATATGATATTTGTTACCTGTTTATTCAGTGTGTTTCAGGTAACAAGTTGATCGATATCCACTAAAAACTAATATTACAAATATTTTTGTTTCAGGTAGCTCTACCGATTTTGTCTATGAACAGTTCAATATGACTACAAAAGGAATCTTAAACCCGAATTATCAAAATCATGTTTGTGAAAAATGTAACAAGTCTTATGCAGCACACACGTCTCTGAAAAGACATTTACGTTTTGAATGTGGAAAAGAACGTAATTTTTTCTGCAATTATTGTTCTTACAGGAGTCATCAATTTTGTACATTGAAAAGACATTGTTTGCGAATACATAATGAAACGTTGATGACTTATAACGGTTATAATGCCCATCAATTTTAATCACTACTGCCACTCTAGACAGGCCTATGAGTTAAGTTAAACTCCAAGTCGATTCAGGGATGAAAAGCGTGAGAAATTTTCCAACGATATGGAAACTTTATGTTCCAGAGGTTTCTGAACATTTTGGCATACCTTAGAAAAAATGGAAGCATGTGTGCGTGTGTGTGTCCACAATTTTTTGTCATCCATTTCGGGCACGGATCAATCGATTTGAAATAGTAAAAAATCATTCGATTCTTACTGATTAGTTTTAGGTAGAGACGTGCTGATTAGTTTTTGGCAAGGACAGATCCAGCCCGTTCGGAGATACGAAGCATAGAGTGCAGAAATAGAAATTAAGTTTTTGAGAGAACAGATCATCCGATTTGAATGATTCAAAAAACGTTTAGATCGTAATGATGAAGAGAAATAGTGATTAGATTTTGCCGAAGAAAGGTGCAGACGATATAGGGCTAAATGTGCAAAAATTGGTAGTTTTTGAGGGAACGAAGCATCCGATTTGAATGATTGGAAAAACCTTACACTTGTATTGACAAAAAGCAAATAAAAAATATATTTTTTTAATTTAAATTCTAAAGCTCACTTGGAATAAGTAATTTTAACATTGTAATTCAGTTTATTTTTAGAAAAGTGTAACTCCGCTTCATTAAGTTTTTTTTATTTACTTTATATTTATTTTATATAAACGTCATCGTCCAATTTATGAGCTTATATATTTTGTCTATAAAATAGAATATTGAAAGTTACAGTATTTATAATAATATATTTGAAAACCTTCAACATTTTTCGTATATTTCATTACGATACAGGAAGTTCCAGCAATTTGCCTAATGGCACGATGACATACATCACTAGTTCAAATGAAAATTGATATTACTACTTCATACCAAGTTACCCGCGGAAGTTTGAAATCACAACCTTGTGTGTGTGTGAGTATGCGTGTGTGTATGTAATGTATACATTTTTCCTATACTATTAGTTTATTCTATCTGAAGTTTATTATAAATTGTATAAAATGTTTATTGTATATTTATTAAATTAAATGTATACATTTTAATATATATTAATATTTTTAATTATTTAGTTATCTGACCTTAAAGATAAAATTATTTTTATGAACTTTTGAAACAAATAAAAAAATCTTTATTTGTTTAGTTTGAAACAAATTATAAAAAAATTAAAAGATTAAATCATAAAAACTATATTTTATTACTACTTGCAAATAAACATAAATAAGATAAAATGAAAATGATCTATTTATATGAAATTGTGTTGAATTAGTTCTATAAATAATAATATAATTAAATAACATATACTATTTTATTTAAATAATGTATTTATATGTACATTAAAATTTGTAATAAAATTTACAAACAACAATTTTCATCATTAAAAATGTTTTTATTATATTTTTCAGATTATCTGCAGCTTTAGATGAAATGATTATTTTTAGTTACAATTTGTGTTGTGTTTTATTTTTAAAAATATAACTATTATTATGTAATATTATAATTTATGATTGTGCTTTCTGTTTTATGTTATATTTTTGTTTTTAGATAGATTGACTAATTTTAGGTAAGTTTGTTTGTCATTATTGTTTTTTAAAAGTCACTTATATTTCTTTTACATTTATCAGTTGATTTTAATATTAATATTTTTTATTAGCGTTGTTTGATGAAATTTTATTTGTTTATTAAATATTAATAATTTGATTAATTTAAAATTCTTCTATTACTGTTTTTTTATTTGAGTAAATGTATATTTCAGAAACAGTATCCTATAGTATACAGGAAAATTTAAAATATTCGATTTTTCCAAATTAATAACATTTATAATGTAACATTTTTTAATAGCAGTTTTAGATGTTTTTACTAATTTAGTTATTTGATGTTTCAGATCCATCCAGCTTAAATTTTGATGACTTAACTTTTTTAACCTGTTCGAAGTGCTGGAGGTCTTTCACGGAGTACCTGCCTTTCAACCGCCACATTTTGAATTGTTCTGCATCTCATCCAGAAGTAGATGAAACTAATAAGAAATTTCAATGTCTAAAATGTGGAAGAAGGTATAATAATAAAATCAAATTTTGTGCCTTTTATATTTTTAAAATATTCCAGAATTAATTAGTTCATTCAGAACTTTCGACTAGAGTTTGTACTTTTCCTAGAAAACATAATTCTATGATCTTTATTTAAATTTTACATCGTTTGTCATGTTTCAAATTCTTGTCATTTAATTTACTTACATTATTATGATATAAATAAAAAATATTACTAAACCTAAATGATTTATTTTATTACAGATACAAGAACCAGTGCACTTTGTCCAGCCATATAAAATACGAATGTGGTAAAGCTCCACATTTTTCCTGTCCAATTTGCCATAGAAACTTCCACGTAAAGTCGAATATGAAAAGACATATGAAATATATACATTCTAAAGATGATATCATAACAAATTGAATGATTCCAAAGCTTAACCTAGTCATTTTATATTTAATAAATTTAAGTATACTTGTAGCATATATACATAGATTTATTTAGTTCTTACTTTAGACGTTTCTAGTCCAATTTAGCCAAACTGCATAGGTTAGTTGATTTAGTTATATTATGACTTATTCCCAAATTATGATCTTAAATAATCTAAAAATATTTATTTTATTTTTATGAAATATAAAGACAACATTTATTGGAAATATTCTAAATTACTTACATAAATATTTTAAGCTTGTGGGTGGCGTATGTTTGTGATTTTTATTTTATCTTAATTTTAGATTGCATTGGATTTTGAATCAATATATATATATATATATATATATATATATATATATAAATTATTTCAGAAGTTATAGTCTGAGTTTCTTATAGTCTTTTCATACCAAAGTGTTTCCTCTAGTTCTAGTTTGAATATTTATTGGGACTGTAAATATACCAAATATGTATGAAATATCTGTATGCCAAAGATAAGAAAATAGTTATATATAATTTATTTTAATACAATAAATTAAAAAAATATATACAAATAAATATTTCAGATTTTTTTTATTGTTTGTCTTAATTTTTCAGAGAAGCGCAATTGCAGAAATAGAAAATAGTTGGAAATAATCATTAGCAGGATTTGTACATGTAAATTTATTTTGTTGTGTTAATTTTAGAAATGAATTTTGTTTAATTAATTTGAATTTATTTTGTGTAAATGATATAAATAAATGAATCTTGGAAATAAAGCTATTATTTTTGGTACATGTGCTCTTTAGTTTTCTGATTTTTTATCTCTGGTTTATAATAACTTGATTTTTATTTCAGAGTTTTTTCATTAAAAATTTTTCTTGTGTCATTATTTTTCTAATTATATTTATTTTTCTTTTTCAGGGGTTTCAAAAAACAAGGACACAGAGAGCTACATATGTCTCAGAGGTGTTAGAAAACCAAATTTTTAAGTCGAAAGAAATATACCCATTATTCTATATATATAGACACATATGAAGTTGCAATGTGGGGTAGAACCTCAACTCAAATGCGAATATTGCAATAAAAAGTTCCCATTCAAAATAAATTTTGACAAGCACCTTAAAATTTACATTTAAAAAAAATACAATCTCATTACAGATGCATTCAAAGAGCTTTTATTTTAAATATGAAATGTGATTTTTTAACAAAACATTGCACAAAACTGACAAACGATAGCCCTCATCAAGATACATCAAATAGCTTTTAAATTTCTGAAAACGGTTCAGGCGTTTTTGAGAAAACGTCGATGAAAGGTCTAATTTTAACAAACGCCAAAAAAACGATACTAATTTTTAAAATTAAACGATTTGTCGTAGGGCCTTAATGTTTTAGTATGATCTATAAGACTATGGTACCTATCATCAAAAAAAATTCATAAAAATCATCGAAAAAATTTGTTTTAGCATTTTATTACAAGAGAACGACCAGGGCGATATTTACCAAAAACTAATCAGGTCGATTCCCAACCAATATCTTTCGAACAGTTTTTGAATTTTCAAAATCGATTCAGAATTGCGGGCTGAAACGTGGACGAAAAACTTTCCACTTTTCTGCTATTTACAAAGAAGCAGCTTGGCTGATTGTCGCGCAAAATTGATAAACGCTAGTCCTCATCGAGATACATCGAATGGATTTAAAATGTTTGAAATTGATTCAGCCGTTTTTGAGAAAACTTGGATTCATGGCAAAAAATCTGTTCACACACACACACACATACATACTTTTTTCCAAATTTGGTCTTATCCGATTCAGAATGGCTTGAAACGTCGATAAAACATAAATTTAGCGTGTCGGATTGTAATAAATATTATTTGTTCTACTACAGATAGGTTAGCCATTGGGTTACCATCCAAAATATTGCGTACAAAGAGAAGTTCAAGCAAAACAACTCATAGGATGGAAGTTCTATGGCAGCTTTTAAAGTTGAGAATAAAATAATGTAGTCAATTTTTTTTCTAGTATACTTGATTTTTTTTAGTAGTAACTGACGTGTGCGTGATAGTACATACTATATTTCTGTCTTGATTTGTTCTTTAAACGAATATTTTTTTCTTGATTTTCAGAGTATAGAAATCATCGTCCACTCACGAGTCCTTACAAGCTTCGCAAGAGTGCCCTTGTAATGCATACAATTAGCAAATATCAGTGTACAGAATGTCAGAAAAATTATTCAACACTGGGAAGTCTACAAAGCCATATTAAGTTTCAATGTCAGAAAGAACCACAATTCGAATGTATTATTTGTGGCAAAAAGTGCTATTATAAAATAAATTTGATTAGGCACTATGTGAAACATGAAGTCAAGCAGAAAAAATGAAATCGACTTCAGGCATAGAAATTTTGAAGTAAATCTCGGCAATATTCAGTTTAGCCATAGATATTTTATATTTTGTCTGACAAGTCATTGTGGCAGACTTGACGATTTTTGTCTGACAACTCTCAAATTCGTTAATTTTATCGACTTCAACGATAGTAGGAGAGACTGGGTACGGTTCTGTCAGGGTACGGTAGTGACAGTCGTCATAACAGCTGACATAGGGTCTATCAAGTTTGATCAAGAAATCATTGAAAGATCAAGTATGTTCGTTCGAACAAGTTTCCATTATTGCATTTAGTCTGTGCTCTACATTAACATGATCTGCAGATCGCATTGCTCTTAACCATCTTTGAAGTGTGGACTTTGAAGTGTGGATGATTTGATTTCATGACTAATTTTATGACTTTTTAGTTTTTACAATGTTATTATAAATTATATTAATTGAATTATTTACAGTAAAATTCAACACTAAAACGATATTAAGCATAACATTAGTATTATGAAATGCAATAACTTCAAAAAAAAATGTTATGATATTGAGAAAGTTTATGTGAGGTTTGTTGATCTTGAGATTCTTCTTCAATTTTAATTTAGACAAGTGTTCATATTATCATTTATTTTTCTCCCAGCTAACTGGTGAATTAACATAATTATGGCAGAAAAAAGTTGTGCAAATGTACCCAGTCTTCACTATTATTAAAATTAATTACATATGAAATTAGTTTTTCTAATTAATGGTTTATTTAGCAATAACAAAATAACAATATTTATTTGATCATACAAGATCAATATTTCTTGTATAGTATACTAAGATAGGAATATACTAAAATAGGAATCAAATGATCTTCATAATTTGCTAGTTAATATGGATGTAGTTGAAAGTGAATATTTACATTTTTTTAATTAATGCGCTTGAATTTAAATTGAATTTAGCTAGAATTAGTAATAAATATCTTATATTTTGACTGATTACTTTTCAATCGAATCTTAAATTCGTTAACTTAATTTCTTAGATTATTACTCAATACCTTAATAATTAATTAAGATATTTAAATTGTTGTTTTAAGTGCATCTAGGTAATTTTAGATAATTTTAGGCTCAGTAATCTATTTTTTTATATATTAGATGAAAATGTAATTAATAGTAAGGACTAATGTAGTCTTTTTTATTTCAAAAACCGGGATTTGAATGGAAATAATTATTGTTGTTTTAAGTGCATCTAGGTAATTTTAGGTAATTTTAGGCTTAGTAATCTATATTTTATATTTACTGTGAAAATGTAATCATTAAACGACTAATGTAGTTTATTTTATTTAAAAAAACAGGATTTGAATGGAAATAATAGTGGTTGTTTTAAGTGCATTTAGGTAATTTGAGGTAATTTTAGGATCAGTAATCTATATTTTATATTTGGTGTGAAAATGTAATAATAATAGTAAAGGACTAATGTAGTCTCTTTATTTCAAAATCATATATATATATATATATATATATATATATATATATACTGCCTTGTGTGGGCAGGATCGTGAGTTCGAACTCCCGCTTTGGATCATGCAGAAGTAATGTCAATTTTCGAATAGAGTTGGAGTTTAATTCAGCTAATATATATATATATATATATATATATATATATATATACATATATATATATATATATATATATATATTAGGGTAGTCCTTAATATGAACATTTTCGAATTTCTTTGCTCCCAAGGGATCAAATGCTTCAAAATTAATAAAAAAAGTTCCTAATAATATTAACATTTAGATAATGCGCAATTCAATCAAAGCTTCGTATGAAAATAGCATGGAAAATTTTTGAAAATTTTAAGAATGTTTTTTAGGTATAACTTAGCGATAAATGAATTAAAAGTGACAATTCGTGTCATCTTTTATTGAAAATTCGACGCTTTACAAAACAGGTTTTTTTATAATTTGTTTTGTAGAGCGTCGAACTTTATATAAAACATATTCATTTGATCGCTAAGTTATATCTAAAGCACATTTTTAAAATTTTTGAAAATTTTTTCCATGCTATTTCCATATAAAAATTTGATTGAATTGCGCACTATCTAAAAGACAATATTAAGAGCTAGAGCTATTTGGAAGATTTTTTTTATTAATTTGGAAGTATTTGAGCCCTTGGGAGCAAATAAATTCGAAAATGTCGATATTAAGGACCACCCTAATATTCATATATGTTATATACATATAACAAATTTACTCAATATTAACTTTCAATTAAATTTATAAAACAATATTTACTATAACATTATATACTTAAATCTTAAATATATTTTAAATGTATATAGTGTTTTATTTTGTTATTATAAATCGATATCACAATTTTACACAAATTTAATATTGTTTTCAGAATCACTCATATTACATTTTTTATAAACTGTAATATTTGTGAACAAATAATTGTCATTGTGAAATTGTTTCTAACTACTAAATTATATTTTTAGGCATTTACCAAGAACCTTCAATTGCAAGCAATGTGCTCTATCATTTTTCCTCAGAATTGTCTAGTAAGGAATGGGTATGTGAAAATTGCGGAAAATCTTACAGCACTCGTGGAAACTTAGCTAGACATATCAAATTTGAGTGTGGAAAAATGCCAGAGTTTCAATGTAAACTCTGCAACAAGCAAATGCATCAGAAAGGAAATATCATACATCACCTAAAAAGTAAACATAAACTTAACGATTTGGAAGAATTATCTCACTATTACACAAGGAATAGAATTAATGAAGTAATGAAGAAATCATAAATGAATTAACTGGATGTAATTCAAAATATTTTGAATACAACTTGGTAAAGTTGATGAATTGATGATATGTTATGAAATAACTGAAAACTAATTAGTTGGTTGTGATTAAAGATATTTTAAATCTATGCAATATGATGTATTGATAATTAAAAACTGGATGAAATTGATGACCTTTTTTTACACTTTGTTTAAAACAGCTGCCATTTTTTTCCTTCAACTTCTTCTTCAACGTAGTTTCTTCTTTTTTTTTGTTTCAGGCGATGCGCAACGGATTTATCTGTGGCACCGCAAAAGAGATCGATTTTGCAAGGCCGACTTTGGCGTCCCCTGGTTAAAAAATAAAGGCAAAAAAAGAAAAAAATTCGTAATATTCTATGATTACGATTTTGTTTTAAAAAAACGGATGTCTCTATGACAAATACATTTCGAGAAAAACAAAAACAAATACCTTGCATTTTTTGTAAAAAAAAAACGAACAACCCCCTTAAATCTGTTACTGCGCCTTTGCTTCCATTATTTTATATTACATTATTTTATAATTCTTAAATGTACCTTCATTAATTTTTTATCTTAATATTCTAAGGTAATTCAAAATAAACTTATGAGCCGTTATATATGTTAAATTATGGTTCCTCTTTTATATGCGAGTGCCTTATGAAAAAGAGATGGCTATACTTTCCGAAAAACTACCCTTTGTATGTCTCTTTCTACCATCCCCAAAACAGGTATAGTTGAGACCCTTATAAGCCTCTATGTCAAAATCAAAAAATACCCTCGTAGTTTTTTTTTTTTAAGTTTTAGTTTAGTAAGATGTTGAGATGGAGTTTGATGTTATACAGTTATAACTGAGTCAAATATATATAAGGAAAAATATTTTGTAGTTTTGTGTGATTAGAATGTGAATATGTAATATAAATTGATATTTTTAAGGTGTTTATGATATATTTTAGTACAGTACAGTTTCAATACTGTTTAAGATAGTTTTATGAAAAAGTGTCAAAACATTATTAACTAATAATAAGTACCTACGTAACGTAGGCTACGTTATGCTTTTATAAGGCTAAAAGTTTAAATTTAATAAATAATATAAAATATTCAATAATAAATATAAATTATGTTATTGAGTGAAAACATTTTTTGTGTTGTCAATCGATAAAAGTGAAATTCTTGAATATTTGTTAGATTTGTTAGATTATTTTATTATTTTCTATGGAATTTATAATATAATCACGTGAGCAGTTTTTTATGCATTATATATATATATATATATATATATATATATATATTTCTTAATTTATTTATTTATATTGTATGATTCTGAATTTGATGTTGACATATGTATTAACAAAGTTTAGTAATCGGGCATAACATCAATAAAAAACATGAATTTCTTTCAAAAATTTATTTTACATTCATACGTTTCGGCTATAATTTTAGCATTCATTCAGTAGAAACTAAAAATAAAATTAAAAGCTAAAACAATTGAGTTGGAGTCAAAATAAAAAATAATATAAAGAGTAAAAAGTACTTACGTTATTATATATTAAAATCCATTAGTTTGTGTTGTAATCTTAGCCTTCATTAAGTAGAACCAAAAAATAAAATGAGTAAATATGATATTTTAACATAATTTGAATTTCGATGACATATTTCTAGTCTTAATTAGTGTAGCCAAAACGTCAGGAATTTAAAATAAATTCAGAAAAAAAAATCATAGATCTTTTATAGATTGCATATGTATCTTTAGACTTTTTAGCCCATATATTAATTATTATCAAAATATTCGACATTTATATATTTCTAGATTTTTTGAAGCTTACTCGAAAAGCTTGATTTTTTACTCCTTCGGACGTTTATATACCTGTAATTTTTTATATGTTAAGTAATTTTTGCGGACGTGATTGACATAAGATTGTGATTATATATTTTTTTTAAATAAAATTAAAATTAATTCAATCAAGAATGTCCAAAATAGAGAATATGTATTTTGCAATAGTTGCAATAGTTGTCAAACAAGTTGCTTAGTTTTTCCAACATAAGGTATTTTCGGTACAAAAATAAAACAAAATATTCCAAGACACTTTAAAAATAGTGCAAATATTATAAACTTAGTCTTGAAACTAGTGGTGCATGGTATCGTGTTTTAAGGCAAATTGCTGGAACTTTTAGTACCAAAAATTAAAATTAAAAAAATCTATTATTTTTAGAACTTTGAAAAAAATAGATATTTGGGATTTTTAAAATATTTGAAAAAACTTTGAAATATTTTAGAAATTTTGTACTTTTTTTCGAAGCAATCTCTATACGTCAATGAATAATTCAAACTGGTTGATTCGTGTTCTCGAAATCGTCGAGGAAAAATTGTATCAGCAAATACATACACACACACGCACGCACATACACACTGACACACATACATCCATTTTTTCTAACGTATTCCAAAATGTTCAAAAACCTTTGAAACGTAAAGAAAAATAAAAATTTTCATTTTCGATTTTTTGGTGATTACTATAACTTGTCTTACGGTAAGTTAATAAAACATTGAATCATCATTTACGAATCATCATTCTCGTCCGATTAGTATTGGTATAGTATTTATCAATATTTTTAGATGACCATTTTGAAGTTTTATTAAGTACATACAATAGTTAGAACTTCAATATAGAGTTTTAAAAATATATTGTTCATGGTTTGTAATAAAATTTACTTAACAAAAACTGATTATTATCATTACAGGTATCTACAAGTCTCTGTTTACTAGTCAACCGATAAATCCACAGCAATTCTTCATACAATCTCAGCAAAAACTTTACAGTTGCTTTTCTTGCAGAAGAAGTTATGTCTATGAGCAAGGTCTGAGACAACACCAGAAATATCAATGTGGAAAGGAACCTCAATTTAAATGTACTAATTGTCCATATAGGGCCTATTTACGAGGAAATATGACCAAACATTGTAAACGAAAACATGGGATAGATTATTTAGCTTAAACAAATCGTTATGATACATAGATGCATGTAAGAATAATAATATTAATTTATATGGAATAGAAAATTTATTTATTTAATTTTTTCATAAAAATAAAAATGAAAAAGAAATGTTTTTTATAAAATATAATTTATTGTCGACCTTTCGGCACAATGTATGTTCCATCTTCAGGATATATTCCAAGAACGTTGTTTTAGTTAGAAGATAAATAAAAAAACTTATTTTATACAATGGTTTAAATGCTCATATAAATAAATATATACATACATATATATATATATATATATATATATAATTTTTATAAAAGTGAAATAAATTAGTTTAGGCTAAATTCTCGAATTTCATGCCGGGGCAAAAACAATTAGATAGTATCTCTTGTCGCAAATAAATATATTACTCTTTCAATTGTATATTATATTTTATTTTATATACTTAATTTTTTATACCCTATTATACGAGGTTTAAAATATTATTATTGATATTTTATCATATTGATCTTATTATTAGTAAAATAATTGATCTTATTATCAATCAAATAATTGTAAGATTTTTTTTTGTTATTAGGGTTATATTTATAATTTTTTTCTCTAAATGTTGGGACTTTTAACGAAATCTATAGAATCTAAATAAGATACTCGTATTGTGTAAAATTTTATATTTTTTTATAGATATAACAAATTGTTAAAATCTTGTACATATACACACACATACACCCATAAATATATTATATATAAATATTTGTATAGGGCAGAGCGCGGTAAAAAGGTCCACCACAGATATCTCAAAAACAAGTAAAGCTGGGATTTTTTTACAAATAATATTTGAAAGTAGAGGGAAAAAGATGTATGACCAGGTATCACCTTGATTCTATCGAGAGATAAATGGCATTGTTTGAAAATCCATAATAAAAGTATTTTCTTCCATCGTTAATTGTTTTGGCTTGTGAGCACTGTTGTTTAGTTTACGATATTTTAATATATTTTCTAAGTATACGTTATGTAATTGTTACACTCAACCATTTTTTTACATAACTTATATAAAAGTTCACATCTTGGTGGGGTAAAAAGGAGCAACTGAACTTTACCCTGGCAAAGGTGTCAACAAATGAAAAATAGTAAATTAAGTTATAAAAAGCAATTTTACAAAAAAAAATCAAATTAATGTTTATTCCAACTTTGCTGATAAATATTTTTGACAAAACACCAGATCGAGGTTATATACAGGGTTATCTCTAAATATTTATGTAGCCATAAAATATATTTTTTGCACTGTTTGAATAATAAAGCTATTATTTCGTAAAATTAAATATATTGGATCTTGATTTCCCATTTTGCTCCACTTATGGGGTAAAAAGGATCAGATAATAAATTTTCGGCAAAAAACACATTTTTTCAATAATTACGCTGTGGATTCTACTTAATATAGTCAGATAGTTGTTTGCTTGATATGTGTTGTTTGTTGTGATTAAATTGGTTTGGTTTTCACAATATAATTGCTCAAAGTCAAATTGGACCTTTGAGTCTCGCCCTATCCTATATAATCTTAATTTGTTGACATATGTATGAATTTTATTCTAGTCAACAACATTTAATAAAAATCATTTTTCATATAAGTATATTAGGTTTTGCCTGGACTTCCAGTTACGAATATTGATTTTATTACTTTAATAATAATTCTAATAATTTCATTTTGCTGATTTTCCCATTATATGACAAACAACTTACATTTAATAAAAGTAAGCCATTTTTTCACACCTGTTCAAGTATCTTTACTAAGCAATTGTACCTCTGAAACATGAAACAAAATAAAATTTATTTATTCAAATAAATAGAGTTTATTAATTATTTCTTTTTAATCTTATATAAAACTGTATCAAGTAATTTTCATTAACATAAAACTGATCTTTATTTCAGAATTGCATTTTGCACCATATGATGAGCATCTTAACTACACATATGGGAGGAAATATGCTTACAAAAATACTGGAAATGGAGTTTTCAAATGCACCGTTTGTTCGAAGACATATGCTTATGAAAGAAATCTAAAAACTCATTTAAAATATCAATGTAATAAAAATCCACAATTCAAATGCACGTTGTGTCCTAAAGAATGCTTTTATAAGGCTAATATGATTCGTCATTATAAAAGGAACCATCCGGATTGTGAACAGTACTGAACAATTAATTTTTAAACATATCAATTATATTTTTAGGCACAATAATTTTCTCATATATGACTTTAGTAAAATATGTAATTCTTGATGAAAAAGTTGTTTGATGAATATTATTCTTATTTTTATGGTTGAGAATAAAGACTTAGATTTAATGATAATTATAGATAATATAATCAAGTATGCATTTATTAATTTATTTATTTCATTCACTTCAATTTATCTATTCATTGTAAAATTTTATAATCTATATTTACATATTCATATGTAAAATAACGGATACTATCATAATAAAATAAATACATATTTGTTGAAAATTTATTTATACAGGGTGCTCCAGAACTTTTTGTCAAGCCGAAAAATTGAACTTAACTGTTCTAAAAAAAGAGTGCGCGTAAGGTTCACACGCGATTGAAGTAAAACTTTTTTGCTATTGTAGTAGATGGCAATTAAGTGAAAAATAAATACATCATATAACAATTTTGAATAATGTTTATATGGTTTTAGACACTCGTGATTTATATAATAATAAATTATAAATTATATATTTATAATATTTAAAAACAACAATGTAATTAAAGTCATATTTCAAATATGACATGATCGGTTTGTCACTGTAATTAGAATTTAGGAGTTGAACCTTCATTAGAGAAATTAAGTAATTGCTGATCAATAAATTCTATAATAATCGTTTACACAGTAGATTATGTTAAACGACGCCTAAAGGTATATTGTTTTCCCAATTTCACTTATCATGTAATTGTGTTTGAAGATCTTCATGTAATTAAAATTAACATGCATTGACTGCTTATATATTTTTTTTACTTTTTCGCTGGCGATGCAATCTCATTCTTTGAGCAGCCTTAATATCTGTCTTGTTTATAAAAAATATTTTTTATTATAATAACTTCAAAGATTTAGAGAAACTACGATTTTTTTTTAACTCGTTTTATTTAGCAATCAGAAATACATAATAGAAACTACGAATAAGATAGAAATTATTTCAATAAACTTACGTTTCTTTTTTTTTAACTCGTTTTATTTAGCAAACAGAAATACATTATAGAAACTACGAATAATATAGAAATTATTTCAATAAACTTATGTTCTTACACTGCACAAATGTTTCATTTGTTTTACTATTTTCATTATAATTATTTACGAGCGACGGGGTAAAATATTCTTCTGATTCATGCATTTTTTATTAAATCAAGATTTGTACTACGATGTAATCTTAAAATCTGATGACATTCCGATCTCCGTGTTGATGTACGCCGGTACGCATACAACGAAAGATCTTTATTCACTCGACACGACGACTAATCACAATCGACCCGTATAGAAATGATTTCTTCGAAAGCGAGTAACAAATAGTTCGGGCATGACTAAACTTCCGTTGCATTTTCACAGATTTACTCCCTAGCCGCGCGCAATGAAGTTTTACTTCAATAATTCACGTTGTTTGGAAATTATAAGTTTATATAAATTATAAGTGCATCATACGGCTTTGGTGAAATTATGACCTGTTTTCGGTCATTTTGATTATTTTTGATTAATTTTGTACATTCATACTTTGGAACTGTAAACGTGTATAACATTTCTAGAATCACTTTAAAAAAATTAACCACAATAACCGAAAACTAGTCATAATTTTACCAAAGCTCTAGGTAGCATTTAAAAGCTCTTAATTGCCAAACAACGTGAGATAAATTTTTTCCTTAATTTTTTGGACGGTTAAGGTCAATTTTACACCCTTTTGGCCTTACATTCTGGGACACCCTGTATAGTTTAGTACATAGAGAATATCATTTGTATTATATAGGTAACTGTGATATTTTTGCAATTATTTTCAAATCATTTGTTCGAGTAATATGTATGTAGTTTTAATTGATGCAAATTAAGTGATTTTTATTACTTAGTTTGAATAATGATGAAATTCGATAATTATTGTATTGTTTGAATAATTGTATCATTTAATGTATGAGTTGGTATTATTTCTTATAAGAATTATTAGTCATCATTTACCCATGTAGTTGTACCTTGTATAATTATTATACTCTTGTTACAAACGAAATAAATAATAGTTTCAATTGATGGTTGGATATCATCATCGAGCTGTGGTTTCTTCAGCAAAGTTTCTTGAATAGCCCCAATGTACCAGAATTGCAATTTTACCCTATCGGTGCATGTATAAATATTCATTTATGTATGAATCAATATTTTTTGAGCCAATTTGTCATGGTTAATAATAATTTATTGCTGCAACCAAAGGCTCAATAGTACTTTTGCATGATTATTTCAAAGGTGCTTTATGTATATATGTGTTTCAGAATTATAAAATAAATTAGATTGAATTATACCGTAATCATATACATTAAGAAATAATATGTATTTTGATATATTACTAATATACATATAATGTTATACATCATCAAATTATTTTTTTGACTACCTGTCATGGAATGAACAGTTGGGTTGAACAACTACTTTATTGAAAAGTAATAAATAGTTGTATACGTAAATTGAAAATATAGAGTACTTATTACAAACTTTACTTAATTATATTAATTTGTTCGTTTTTTTTTCAGGATCATCATTTTCCCAAAGCCGGTATCAAGTATGGATTCCCGATCCACCTTCTACTGAGAAATTTCCATGCCCACATTGTCCAAAATCTTACAGATATAAAGGAAGTTTATTGAACCATATGAAATTTGAATGTGGAAAAGAACCAGCTTTCCAATGTCATCTCTGTGACAAAAAAATGCATCAAAAAGGAAATCTGGTGCAACATGTGAAAAGCGTACATAAAATTATTCATTATGAATATTTGTCGCAATGCTTTTCTGAGAATGTTTCACCCAAGCCAAAAATTTAAATGTAATGTCTGGTGAAAATTATAAAATTTACTTGTTTATGAATGAATTATGAAAATGCATAATGTGGATATTTTAAAGATGTGCAATAATATATACATATACAGCTGCAATTGGATAGTTTCGAAAATTTAATAAAAAATGCAATAAATTAATATTTATTACTTTACATTAATATTTTGTAAATGCGTATATATATAGCAAAATATTTTAGAATTTAATAATGGGTAATATTATGAATTATATTTTTAAAAATGTATATTTACATTTGTTTTTTTTAGATAATTTAAGAAATGGAGTCCGATATTTTAATTGCAACTTTATTTTATGAAAAATATACTATGTAAGAAATTTAGATATGCTTTAAGTCTTTATGATATAAAATCATACTCAATATAATACTGTTGCATTTACAATTATGCTATGAATTTAGAACAAAAGTATTATTCAAGAAGCTACAAAAAATATTTAAATTGAAGGAATTCATATAAAAAATGGTTATATATGCTAATATATTACCATTTTTCATATGAATTTATTCAATTAATTTTTTTTTTTATAAATAGTATACCACAAAATTTTTGAAATATTAATCTAAATTTGAATGCTAAAAAATTAGCTTTACCTAAAAACGATGCCTTAAAAATAAGTTTGAAATTTAAATTAGGTATGATTTAGCTGTTAAAAATCCATAATTTTTATTTTAGTTATATATTCATGACTAAATGATTTTATGTTTTAATATATATTTATTATCATAATAAGTTCTCAACAATACTATATGTGTATGTATGTTTTTGGAAAAAAATATCTTAAAACATATTCACAGTAATAATACAAATAAATAAATTAAACACATTTCATGTTTCTATTATATTTTTTGTTAAGTTTATTTTATGTACATGTGTGTATTTTTATCAAAAAAGGTATACATTTTCACGAGATTATCTAATTTTTTAAATATAATGCAATAGAGTTTTTGGAATATTTTATTCTCAACAAATTTGTTTTTGTATAATAATAATAACTTTTATTTATACAGGGTAAAATTATGTAAAAATTTAATTTTTTTAAATATAAAAAAATAGATCAAAATGTTTGCAGTTTTTTTAGACTAAGTGGATCCATTTCAAATGCTTAGTATGGTATATATAAATCTATATCTTCTCTGTTACTATTTTTCAGGAATGCCTCAATTTCTAACTGGCGGATTTCAAGGAACTTGGACATCGAAAGGATCAATTTTGGAATCTACCGAAAAATTTATTTGTCCAAATTGTTCAAAAATCTACAGTTACAGAAGAAGTTTGTTGAATCATATCAAATTTGAATGTGGAAAAGATCCTGCTTTTCATTGTCACTTATGCGACAAAAAAATGCATCAGAAAGGAAACTTGATTCAACATTTGAAGAACATTCATAAAATTAGGAATTCAGATGAATTGTCACAACATTTTTCGAAAAAATACTAAGCTAAGATGATAGATTATATTATAAAAAAGAGTGCGCGTAAGGTTCACACGCGATTGAAGTAAAACTTATTTGCTACTGTACAGAATGGTATTTAAGTGAAAATAAATACATCAAATAACAATGGTGAGGATCACTTTGATTAATTTGATATTGAGTGGACTGTAAATTATAAATATTTCATCACCATAAGAAGATGTGAATAAAACCACTATTTTATTATGACATATATTGAACTATCCTCTAAACCTTCTTCTCTTTTACATTTGCTAAAACTCCCTTATTATTATATGTTACAGGTATTTATACTCATATAATTGTATCCCCTACCCCGAAGGGTCCCAGGTTAAATAAAAGCCCTGGTCAAATCTTGACCAACAATTTTGAATAATATTTATTAGTAATATGGTAACACTTATGATGCACATATTTATTAGTGTCAACCATTATACACATTTATATAATGATGAATGTTAAATTATAAATTATATATTTATAATAGCATTAAAAATATAAAAAATAAATAAAAACAATAATACGCATACAACGACAGATCTCTATTACATACACGACGTCTAATCACAATCGACCCGTATGGAAATGATTTCATCGAGATCGAATGACGAATCATGGCATCCACTCGGGCCGGCCGTAACGCACTTCCGTTGCGTTTGTGCGGATTTACACCCTAATCGCGCCTAAAGAAGTTTTGCTTCAAAAGTTTTACTTCAAAGAACCAATTCAAGCATTTACAAATTTTAGATGTAGTTTTATCACTAGAAAATCATTTACAAATTTTAGATGATTATCACTAGAACATCATTCATCAACAAACATACGATTAAGGATTTTATTTTATATTATATTATGTTAAGAAATTATATCATATTTATATAATTGTGTCTTTAAAAAAATATAATAATATGAGCAAAAATTATTTTTTTAATTCTTAATACTTTGGAATAAAAAAAATTATTTGCTGATTTCTCTAACCATGCATTTTTTATTATTTTTATAGGTTTTGGCGCTACCTACCACCTGCCAAAATTTGAAGGTGTTTCAAACCAAATGAAATATTTTCCGCCTCTAACACTAGAACAGTCGAAAATGTATCAATGTTCCAAGTGTAATAAAAGTTATAAATATGATCAGAGTTTAAGAATGCATCAGAGATATCATGTGGGGAAAAGAGCCACAATTTAAATGCAATGTTTGCCTTATAGAACATATTTGAAAGGAAATATGAGTAAACATTGTTTGAGAATGCATGGAATTGAATATGTAATAAATGATAATGTTCGATGAAATTTTAAAGTATTTATTAACCAAAAATCATAGGAGTAGTCTTGCTCCAAGCAAAGTAATAATATGGAACTAATATAGTTTAATTTTATTTAAATAAAATGCAAACAGTTCAAAGCTTTCAATGTAAACCAATTATATTGGGTTGCAATGAAGTTTTAATTTTATCGATAAATAGTATTTATTTTAATTTGAAGTCCTATAATTAATTAAAATCAGAAAAAAAACGTCCTGATGTCATTGGACAATATATGTGCAAATCTAAAACATAGACTACTTATATTTTATATATGTTTTCAATATAAATCTCAGTATATTATACATTGAACGACATAAATAATTTATTGATTATTATTAGTAGTAGTATTATTTTTCACCATATATAGAATAAGTTCGTAGAATTATAAATTCCAATATTAATATAATAATATATTCTATTTTTAATATTAGAAGCTAGGTTATAAAATAATAATAGTGATTATAATTATGTTTATAGTTAAATAATACAAACTTTATACTGAATGTTGGTTTTTATGACTTCTGATTTTATTCTAATATAATCTCTTCGCTTTTTGTGTTAACCTAACATATTTTGTAGGGAATATAGTATTTTTAATCAGGATAGATATATAGATATATATATATATAATATAGCCCTGTATATATATATATATATATATATATGTATATATATATATTTAGATTTTATGTTATATTTGATATGTATACCTATATAATCTTTTCCTTACACAATTTTACATGAAACTAATAAATTCATAATTTATGCAAATCGATACTGGATAATGAACTCAGTACAATATAATGTAAATATAACAATATATTGTATATGTGTATATTTATATTTACATTTATATCTGCTAACACAGTTTTACATTTCAGATTTCTTCGGAAACGTGCAGGATTTCGAACACATTGGTGTGAAACAAAATGTTTACAAATGCAAGAGATGTCCACTTTTTATTCCTATAAAAGAAATATTATGAGACATTTGAAATTTCAATGTGGAAAAA